AATTGAATATGCAGATTGCTTTGGGTAGCATAGACATTTTAATGATCTTGATTCTAGCAATCCATGAACACGGTATATGTTTCCATTTGTTTATATATTCTTCTATCTCTTTTTTTCAACTTCTTGTAGTTTTCGGAGTACAGATCTTTTACCTCGTTAGTTAAGTTTATTCCTAGGTATCCTAATTTTTTTGTTACAACGGTAGATAAGATTTTTTGTTTGTTTGTTTCTCTTTCTCTGCGTTCATTATTGGTGTATAAGGAAGCCATAGATGTCTGAGTGTTAATTTTGTATCCTGCTACATTTCTGAATGCATTTATTAAATTTAGTAGTTTTTTGATGGAATAATGACCTTTTTACTTCTTCTTTTCCAATTATGATGCATTTAATTATTTCTTCTTTTATGATAGCTGTGGCTAGCACTTCCAGTTTTATATCAAACAGGAGTGGTGAAAGTGGACATCCCTGTCTTGTCCTGTTCTTACAGAAAATGGTTGTAGTTTTTGCTGATTGAATCTGATATTGGCTGTAGGTTTGTCATATAAGTCTTTTAGTATGCTGAGGTATGATCCTTGGGCTCCCACTTTGCTGAGAGTTTTTATCAAGAAAGTGTGTCAAATCCTTTTTCTGCATCAATTAATATGATTATATGATATTTGTCTTTCAATTTGTTTATGTGTTGTATCATATTTATTGATTTGCAGATATTGTACAATCTTTCTTCCCAAGAATAAATCCCACTTGGTCATGGTATATGATCTTTCTAATATATTGCTGGATCCGATCTTCCAGAATTTTCTTGAGTGTTTAAGGATTGATGGGTGTTACTATGAGTACAGTGGTAGAGCTGCTGTGCAGGAGACACCCCTATGGAGCATGACCTGTATCAGTGGGGCTTTGGTGGTCAGTGAGTCTGCCCCTTGAGTGTGTCGCTTATGGATGTGAAGAGTTGTAAGGTGGTATGGTATGACACTGATCACTGGGTACACTGGCTCTTGGGTCTCCTGGGAGGTTTAAAGTCAGCCTCTTCCTGGAGCCACCGAGCAGCATCTACAGAGAGATCTGCAGATTCTTCTCTTTGTATTGAGTTTGGAAGTGTCCTAATGAGGCCCAGCTGTGAAGCAAGGAAGGCTAGTGCTTGTGCCAGGTATAGGCCTTTTATAGATAGATTTGCTGTTCCCTGACCCAACTGCAACTTGTTTGACAGATTTTAGCATGTGCAAGGACAGGCAATTCATATACAAACGCTACTGCACACAACTTGGTTGGAGTTGTATATTGGATGGGGTGAGGTCTCAGGGAATCACCAGGTCGGAGCACACAGAAATGGTTGTCACACAGACCTATGACCTGGGATGTGCCAGAATAGGTATAATGACCAATGCAAGCACCTCTGTCTTGGAGAAAGCTGCCCCCGAATTCCTGCCCCAATGCCAGTTAGTCCAGTTTTTTCTCGTATGTGTCTTGATCAACCCCCCTACCCCAGGTTCACCAGGCCCTGGAGGTTGGAAGAAGCAGGAGCTTGTATGTTCAGTTCGTGGTACTGACATTGTAAGAGGAGCAGTTGGGTCTCCTGTAGCCTTTGTGTCACTGAACCCAAGTCCACACTGGCTGGTACTGACATTGTAAGAGGAGCAGTTGGGTCTTCTATAGCCTTTGTGTCACTGAGCCCCAGTCTACACTGGTTTTTACAGCCCATAGTTCTTACTGCCATTAGGGTCTTTTTTTCCCCAGTCTGCGACCTTGTGCTGGGCGTCTGGTGTGGTACTGGGACTCTTTGCTCCTCCAGGTGACCTCTGCAGAGACGATCTCCCTCCCAATTAATAACGTGGCCCAAATGGGTAGAGGACCATCATCTTCTGAGCCTCTTTACCTCCTACCAGTCTCAGGGTGCTTTCTACTTTACCTCTCTAGTCCTAAGACCTCCATTCAGCCAGCTTTCCAGGAGTTCTGGCTGATGGTTGTTCTGTATTTTATTTGTAATTTTGAGGTATTTGTGGGAGGCAGCGAGTATAGGCCTTTGGCAACACCGCCATCTTGGATCTCCTCTCTCGTAACTTTTCTGAATTCTATTCTTTCTTCTTTTCACCTGAATAGTGATAATATTTTTTCCATTGATTTTTTTTCTAAGGAAGAGAGAGAAAGGGAGAGGCAGGGGGAGAGAGAGAGAAATATCAATTGGTTGCCTCCCACTTGTGCCCCGAGTAGGAGGGGGGTTGAACCTGAAACACACATACCTGCCTCTTACGGAGAATCAAATCCATGACCTCCCACTGTGCAAGCAGGCATTCTCAGCACTGAGCACCATGGGCCACGGCTATTTATTTATTCCTTAAATTATTTTTCTATTTATTTTTAAACTATATTTTATTGATTTCAGAGAGGAAAAGAAGGACAGAGCAATAGAAACATGAATAATGAGGGAGAGTCATTCATCAGCTGCTTCCTGCACAGCCCCCCTGGAGATTGGGCCTGTAACCTGTGCATGTCTTCTGACAAGGAATGGTATTGTGATTTCCTAGGTCTGTGGTCGGCAAACTGCGGCTCGCGATCCACATGCGGTTCTTTGGCCCCTTGAGTGTGGGAAACAGAGAAAAAGGGAAACATTGATCTGCTGTTTTTTCCCATGTAAGCATTTATTGGCTGTCCCCTACATGTACCCTCCAAACCCACAGCCGTGGCGCATTGGGACCACACACTCAACAAGATAGCTACATGGCCAGGGCTCTGAATTTGTTAATTTCAGAAGCTCATATGGGATCTTGACCAATTTCTCTATGGAGGGTCATTTTGTCTTCTAACATCAACATCTCTTATGATGCTTTGTGGTTCCTAGTGTCAGTTGTAATGTCCTATCTTTCATTTCTTTGAAGCGTGGTTTTTTTTGTCCCCCAATTTACCTTTCCCTAGGATCCCCTACCCCTCTGAAGCTAGTTTTTGTTTGTTGGTTTTTGTGTTTTGCTTTAGTCTTGTGTTTTGCTTTAGTCTAACTCAAGGGTAGCTAATATTTGTATTCTTTTATTTTGCCTATCTCGCTTTTACTGATGCTTCTTCAAATATTTGAGGAAGAGAGATGGAGAGAGAGAAAGAGAAACAGGGAGAGAGAGAAAGAGAGAGAGAGAGAAACATCAGTGTAAGGGAGAAACATCAATTGGCTGACTTCTGTACACAGGGTAACTAGAAATGGAACCCATATACTGATATGTACCTTGACTTGGGAATTGAATACTCCACCCTTTGGTACACAGGACGATGCTCCAACGAACTGAGCCACACTGGCCAAGGCATTCTGTGGGTATTTTGTTTGTTTGTTTGTTTGTTTTAAAAATATGTTATTAATTTTTTACAGAGAGGAAGGGAGAGGGATAGAGAGTTAGAAACATCGATGAGCGAGAAACATTGATCAGCTGTCTCCTGCACACCCCCTACTGGGGATGTGCCCGCAGCCACGGTACATGCCCTTGACCAGAATCGAACCCTTCAGTCCGCAGGCGGACGCTGTATCCACTGAGCCAAACCGCTTAGGGCCATTCTGTGGTTTTGAAACACACAAATTTCCAGTATTTTTTGAAGAACAGGCCACTATGATCAATGATAGTGGAAGCACACTGGCTGCTGGAGGTAATGATGACCCTCGTTTTTGACTGTAGGTATCTTCAAATATGTTTGTTTACCCAGTCTTTCCAGTCATTCTTTCCATATAGTTTTCCTTTATTTCTGTCTCTTATCCTGTTTGTCTTCATGGTACTCTTATCCCCATTTCCTATATGGTGTTTGCTCATGGATAGCTGTCTACTTACACTAGGAAAAGGCAGATACTGATATCTCTGATCCTGCCGTCTTGCTGATGTCACTCACATAGGTCTTTTTTTTTAAATATATTTTTATTGATTTCATAGAGGAAGAAAGAGGGAGAGAGGAATAGAAAAATCAATGATGAGAGAGAATAATTGATCGGCTGCCTCCTGCACACCCCCTCCTGGGGCAACCCAGGCATGTGCCCCTCCCCAGAATCAAACCTAGGAACCTTCAGTCCACAGGCAGACACTACATCTACTTAGCCAAGCCGGCTAGCGTTCACATAGGTGTTTTGTCTGTGATCTCATTTGTCGTTTGTTGTTCTACCACAGTGTTGACCATCCAACTTTGTTGTTTTTCCTTGCAGATTTGCATCACTTATCACGTGCAATGGCTCAAATGGGATTTAAGGGGAAGAATCAGTTTTGCATCATAGAGGAAACATGACGTTATTTATTGATTTTTAAATGTATTTTATTGATTTTTTTACAGAGGGAAAGGGAGAGGGATAGAGACTTAGAAACATCCACAAGTGAGAAACATCAATCAGCTGCCTCCTGCACACCCCCCACTGGGGATGTGCCCGCTACCAAGGTACATGCCCTTGACCAGAATCAAACCTGGGACCCTTCAGTTCAAAGACCAACGCTCTATCCACTGAGCCAAACCGGATAGGGCAAAACAGGGCTTTATTAATGACCCCCGAGGCAGTCTTGCCTAGGAGAAGTGTCTTTGGGGAGGATTTCTCTGCTCGCCTTTGTTACATTCATAGCTAGAAACCCAATGTTTTCTTGCGGTTGCCCATTCCTAATCCAATTTTATGCTTGTTTGTGCTTGTTGTTAATATTTTGCCAGCTACTCAGTTCTAATAGTGATCCTTTCTACTCGGATTCCCAGCCCACCAATACCTTCACCTCTCTGGACTTTGCACCTCTGCCTCTTTCACTGGTCTCTCTTTACTGCAAGCCAATGTTGGTCCATGCCTGCAGCACCTTGGAGTGCACACGTGTTATTATATTGGCATAGAACGTCATGTGCTCTAATATTAATTTTTATGACTTTGAGCATCTTTAAATTATTCTACACAGACTCACATGGCCAGCATGTAAGCTCCTAATAGAAGCCATTTATGCAGGAACAATGAGTAGCGTCTTTCTCTGTTCTTCGTATCCCGTCCTGTGCTTCTGTCCCTCTCTTGGTTTGCTTTTCATCATTGAATGACTTTTGGGGCCACGATATGTATAACAGCGATTTCCTCAGAGAATACCTCACTGGTCCTTAAAATCTTTATATGCCATCATGCCTAGTCATGACAGATGAACATTGGTGATGAACATATTTTGTTTTGATGGGATCGACAGATACTTCACCAGTGTTTCCTTTTGTTCAGGTTGCTGCTGTGGAGCAGAGAATGTGGAGGCTGTGACTGAACAGAACGTTTCTGTAAGAGTGTCACAGGCAAGGAATCCCAAGGTAGCCTTGTCTTCCCAGAAGAGCCACCCCTGTGAGAGTTGTGGACTAGTCTTGGGAAACATTTTCCGCGTGACGGAGCTGCAGGGAACACAACACGGACAGATACTGTTGAGATGTGGGGCATGTGCAAAACGGTTTTATTTCACTGTAAAATTTCACCAGCAACATGTGAGAGAGAAGACTTTCATTAGAGGTGTGGACAGGATTTCCCTTGCAAATAGCTGCAATTTCAGTGTGTCCCAGAATCGTTTCTCATGCAGAGAGGTTGGGCAGGGTGTCTTTACAGAATCAGGATATCGCCACGTAAAGGCTCCTCGGACCAGGGACAGTCCAAATGCTATTTTGACACATGGAATAACATTTCAAAGGACAAAAAATTATTACACCAGAAAAGAATGTAAGAAAGACATTATTTGCACCCACACGTTTATTCAGGAAAAGGATGTCAATGTTGGAAGTCGATGTTTTGTGTGCTCTGAATGTGGGAAATCTTTTACCACTAAGTTTCGCCTTCACAGTGATCAGAGAGTTCACACAGGAGAAAAGCCTTATAAATGCACTGAATGTGGGAAATCTTTTACCAGTAAAACCGAACTTTGTACTCATCAGAGAGTTCATACAGGAGAAAAGCCTTTTAAATGCAGTGAATGTGGGAAGTGTTTTATCACCAGCAGTAATCTCTGTCGTCATCAGAGAGTTCATACAGGAGAAAAGCCTTATAAATGCAGTGACTGTGGGAAATCTTTTGCCAGTGACAAAAAACTTTGTCATCATCAGAGAGTTCACACTGGGGAAAAGCCTTATCAATGCAGTGACTGTGGGAAATCTTTTACCAGTAACAGTAAACTTTGTCATCATCAGAGAGTTCATACAGGAGAAAAGCCTTATAAATGTAGTGAATGTGGGAAAACTTTCCGTGAAAACAAAGCTCTCCAAAATCATCAGAGAGTTCACACTGGAGAAAAGCCTTTTAAATGCAGTGACTGTGGAAAATC